TGTGCTCCTTGCCTCTCTTCCCTAACAACGTTTGGTTGCAGATTGTCAACTCTTGGTCCAAAGGCACATTATTAAGGAAAGTTAAAGGAGTCTTTCCCCTATCTGTTCGGTTGAACGTTGTGGCGCTTGGATGTGTGTTGTCAACGTATGATGGCCCTGCGAAATTTTCTTGCATTCTTGATGGTGATATCCCTGGTGGCGTCTGAGTGGGTTGAAGAGTAACCCTTGATAAAGCTTGATCTAACATGTTCTGCATGAGATTTTGTTGCTCGCACAACATGATGTTCTGTTGCTCGCGCAACATATTTTGCATCGCAGAAGTTTGCTGATTGTTCAATTGCTGAACATAAGACAACCAATCGGCAGGTGGTTGGGGAATCTCCCCTGGATTTTACATGACGGGTGGTGAAAAATTTTCTCCCACCGGTGCTGATGATGATTGAGGTTGTGAGCCTGCCATACTGATTTTTCTGATGATTCGGCCGGACCTCAGTCGTATGAAATTCTCTGTTGATGTAGGATCAGCAATCTTGCATTTCTCCCGCTGTGGTCGCTAATTTGTTGATGTATTTTTTCAACAATAAAAAAAGTAAAATCCGAAAATAGGAAATTATCTTCGAATTTCATATATTTAGCGCCTGAGATTAGGAATCTTTAAACACTGTACGGTACAGAAAATAAACTGGAAAGTAAAATACTGGAAATTTAAACGATAATCCCCGAATCACTGACTTTGTCGTCGTTTGAAGGTGATTGAAGATCCCCTGTCAGTTACAAATCCCAATCCTAAAATATTCTTTAGAAACGGTACTTGGAACCGTCGCCCGAACAGTTACAACACCTCTTTTCAGCCGTCTGCCAACTCTCTTTCTGTTAATATGTGTCCTCAGCCGACCGAACTATTACTCTCACTCGCTCTCAGCATTATCCGACCTCCACAACAACCGACATGCCTATCCAACCGCAAACCTTCCGACTCTTTGGACCGACCGCAAACCTTCCACCTTTTTGGTCCGACCACAAACCTTTCGACTTATTGGTCCAGCCACAAACCTTCCGACTTTTTGGACCGACCACAAACATTCCGCCTTGTTGGTCCAGCCACAAACCTCCCGACCTACAGACCACCCGACTTGTAAACCGTCTGACTTGCAAAATTTCCACCTTATGGACCACCCGACCTGCAGACCTCCCGACCTGCAAACTGTCCGACCTGTAAACTGTCCGACCTACGGACTTTTCAACCCGCGGACCTTCCGATCTGCGGACCTTCCGACCTACGGACTTTTCGACCCGCAGACCTTCCGACATGTGGCCTTCCGACCTGTGGACCTTCCAACCTGCGGACCTTCCGACCTGTGGACCTTCCGACCTGCGGACCTTCCGACCCGCTATTTCCTTAGAAATACGTCTATTTCACCCGATTTTCTCGAAACACACCTTGATCAGTCCAACAAACCCAATTGTAGGCCCATTTTTTCCTTCTAACTTGGGCTTTTTAACCTAATTATAAATTTCATACATAACAGATGTGAAATTCTTAGATACAACACAAGAGTTACGATAAGCACATTGGCTAAAGAATCACGTCAATTATATAGCTAAATAACTAAGGGTAAGTTATAAAACACCTCCTTATGTTTTAGTAAGAATATAAAAAATACATTGTATTTTATTTACTGTGTGAAACTCTCTTATAATAACTTAAAGTATGCACAAATCATCATATTCATCCAAAATTGATTTTAATTGTAAAGGCAGATCTAATTCTGCAAGTTTTATACAAATAAAAACAATAATGTATATAAAACAGTATTTTTTGAATAAAATAAATAACTAAAAAAATTAATTAAATTAATTATTATTATATTATTTATATATAAAATAATTAAATAAGAAGTCCATTACTTATTTTCTCTGTAGAACCATACACACTCAGTAACGGCCTTGCCATACCTTTTCGTGTGGAGCATAGTGAACACTTTAGAATTATGGGGATATGATTGCCTCATATGTGGAGAAACCTCAATACAATAATCCGAAATCAAACTTTTTTCAAAAACCAATAATTAGGAACTATAAAGTTCTCAAAATTTTTTCTAAAACGAGCTTATCTTTTCTCATTAATTTGTTACGTTCAAGTTGTTCAAGAATATTAATTTATTGTCCGCCATATATAGACATAAAAGAACACAATATTCTACGAAAGGGAAAATATATTGTAACACATGCACCACACATTAAACAACAAAAATATATATTAATAAAGTCGTATACATTCAACAACAACAATATATATTAACAGAGACTGCTTTTGAAAGGAAAGAGATCTTGCTGATGGCCTCCAGTTTAATAAAGGGCTCATATTGTTGGGTTATTTTAGGAATTGGAAGTAGAAACAACATTGAGAATTTGAATTGTGGTTTTCCTTTATTCAAGAGATTTTAAAAGAAACCAATAAAAACTAAATAACTAACATCATAGTAATCTACAATTATAAAAACTGAAACATAAATAAATAAAGAAAATAAAAGTTGCAGCAGCAGACTAAACACGAACTCAACACTCCTCTTTGCTTTGAATTCTTCAAACTCCAAGTCTCTCTCTATGAAACTCAAACTTGCTTCTTGATAAAGTCTTTGTTAGTATGTCAGCTAGCTGCCAATTAGCTTTTCAATACTTAAAGCCAACAATCCTTCTCTTTGAACTTCTCTGATAAAGAAAAATTTGATTTGGAAATGCTTGGTATTTCCATGAAAGATAGGATTGTGAGAAATTACAATTGTACCCTGATTATCCACAAAGATGTTGATGCTTTTGTTTTACTTCGGTTTTAAATCTTCCAACACACATTTTTTATCCAAGTGCTTGATTTACAGTTGCATTAGCGGCTATGAATTCTACTTCTGCAATAGATTGAGCCACTGTTTCTTGTTTTTTGTAGCACCATGAGAATACTCATGAACCAAGCTCAAAAAAATATTCGAAAGTACTTTTTGTATCATCCAGTGAACCTCCTCAATCGATATCAGAATAGCCATGTAGAACACACTCTTGTTTCCATAAATCTTTATTCCATAACTAAATGTTCCTTTTACATATCTGAGGTCCCCTAAGAAGACGGCTCTGATTCCATAATCTGCATTTTGGTTTTTGTTTTTTCAATAAAGAAGAGGTTTTAAAAAATAACAATAAAAACTAAATAACTAACAACTTCCTAAAAACTAGGAATAATCCTAACTACCTTGTTTGAACTATTCCGCAATTCGAAAAACTGAAATATAAATAAAATAAAGAAAACAAAGTTGCAGCAATAGACCAAAGAACAATTTCAACACATATTATAAAATTTTAGCTCAAAATTACAACAGAGGTATTACATTTTAAAATTTAGGGTCTATTTTTCTTTTCCCACTATTACTCAATCCAATTCTAGTTCTAAAAGTAACCCTAACTATATATTTTCTCCCTCCTTGTTTCTTTTCTTCCTAACCCACTCATTCATTGGATATATAATTTAAACATGAATACCACTGCTCATTCAATTCAGAACAACACTTGTACAAAATAAAAATAATGATAAATAAAAATCAAACTTTCACTCCCAACACAGACTGAATACTCTCATTCAGTCTTTGCAAGTTCATCCTCAGATTTGAGGGTGTTACTTGAAACTATAATATATACTAAAAACCTAAAATTTTGATAATAAAATAAAATTCTCACTATAAAAAAACCGACCTTTTGTAGCAGTCAAAAATTCGTAACAAAAATCCACTCTTCGTGCAAAAAACCCTTTTGTGTTGACTTTATTATGGATTTTGGTTGCTACGAAAAATCACGGTACAAAAAGTCATTGTTGCGGAAAAATTCGTAACAAATAAGTAACGGTCAACGCCATTAATATACATGTGTTAGTTATATTTGTTACGCTTTCTCATATGCCACAAAAGGTGAAATTTTGTTTTTTGCTATGAAATATGTCCGTAACAAAAAATATGGTACAAAAGTAGTAATCTTGTTAGAGAACTTTTTGTAACAGAATTTGTCCATAAAAAAAGTTGCGGAACGAAAAATAGATCTCATTTAGAGATCTTTTTGTTACGAAATATGTGTGTAACAAAGTATGTGATACTCACCGTGAAACTTCTTTTGTTCTGAAAAATATCTGTAACAAAAAATACGATACAAAAGCCATACCTACGTCAAACAAAGTTTTTATTGCCACAAAAGAAAATACACTTGACTTCTTATTTGTTACGGACCTAAATGTGAGACAAATAATAAAAAGAATACTTTTACCATAAATAATCCAAAATTCTTAACAAATCCCACAAAACGAGATCAATCCAATGATGATACTAGACATACCAAAATAAAAACATAACCATCAATAGTATTTTAAAACACCCCCAATTATGATCGTGTCCTAGACCATCATAACAGCTAAGTAATATATGACCTCCAAATTAAAACATAATATGTAAAAAAAGTACAATCTTTAAAACCAACTAAAAACAATTCTTCGGATGACCAAGCTTGTCAATTGCAGAATAAAAAAGGCAAGAAGTCAAGGGAGGCGAACCAACTGCAATGAAAACCCAACACATAAAAGAATTTATTGCTATAGTTGACTTATTTAGTTCACAAAAGAATAAAACCAATAAAAAAATATGTACACATCCTTGCATATCAAATGAATATCAATTACTGACGTTATTCAATTCCAAACTAAATTAAGCATAATAGAATTCAATTAATTCAAAAAAATTTCACTATAAAGAAATAAGTAGAAAAAGATCTATAACACCCCGGCCGGCTTAAACCGGAGCGTCACCGCCACGCCACACCAGAAGACTCTTTCATCAACCAACGAGTCCTACGTTAGGGCACTAAGGCTAAAATAATAAATACAAACAAGTACATAGGGATTTAAAATTAAAGCACACCGGCTTATCAATAAAATAAATAAAGTTTGAGTAAAAAGCATAAATTGGGAATAGTTCAAAAGGCATTAGTCTTTAAACATAATTAATTTCAAAAGCATTTTATAAGATAAAGTAGTTATCATTTCCCCCGACGATCATATGACGTGGATGCATCATTTAGGTATAATAGAAGCATCATCACCTACAAAAACGTTGTACGAAAAAGGTCAACACAACGGTTGAGTAAGCGCGATTAATCGAAGATAAATTAATACAGTATAATGCAACAAAATCATTTGAAGAAGATAATTGAATAAGATGACACGTATCACATATGGGTAACTCACACACACGAGTCTTTTAGCGTCTCCCTTATATCTCTTTTTCATTCTCAAATAATAGTGATGAGCACATCACAAAGAAAACTCCACTAGGCCTTAATTAGGGCCGGTTCGACCCGGTTTTCCAACCTTATTACTTCGTATGACACGTTACATAGTTACACATACATGCATAGGGTCACAACCTTCAAGAAAACCTCCACAATGTGTATCTAAGGGTTTGAAGCCCAAAGTACACGTAAGTCAATTTATTTATTAGTTTGGAAGGGGTGCCAAAGGGCCCACAACCCTCTAACCTCCAATATAACATACCAAGAAGGAATTGTACGCAATCGAACCCTCCACCACGGATGACGGTCAAAAGACATTTTTCATCGTGAATGACGGGCACCTCGGAATCACACAAAAAGGGAACCTGCCATCTCGATCCCTCCACCTAGCCCATTCGGGATCTAATTCGAGGTTAGCTCGTTATCCTAAAATACCAGTATACCCTAACGTGTTTGCAAGGCACAGAGGTGGAAGGCTATACCTTATCATCCAAACAATCGACGAGTTGATCAGACTCAACGGGTAGTTTCAATTACAAATTTGACCCAATACTCAATATGCTATTAGGCAAATTTCAAAAGAAGAGAGCTTTAAACACAAAATATTCCAATTCCCAAGGTTTAACCAACCAAAAAGTGGAATATTAAAACCCAACAAGTTCGTTATTATCTCACTTTATTTCGCCAAATAAACATTCAAAAAATATGTCCATCCTAATTGGCATAAATATTTTCCCAATAAAAACCATACCTAGGTTAGGGCAAAACTAGGGTTTCAAACTCATTCCACAAATTCTGCGATTTTCAATTTAAAATACTATAATAATCTTCATATAAGCCTTTGGAAACATTATAACCAACTTTCTAGAAGAAATTGGCAAAACCTAACACTTTTAGGGCAAATTAATTTTAAAATAATTTGAAAAATATCAATAGAAGGGGTCTAGGGGTTAGTACATATCACCTATCTAAGATTAATCCAACTTACCTTAAGTGAAAACACAAAAAGAAAGAGTTTTGGAGAAAAAGAACTCCAAGGAAGAAGAGGGGGACTGGCGCCGTGTCAGGCTGGCTGCTTCTCCTTTTTTATGTTATGTTATTTTATTTTCTTTTATACTTTATTAAACATAAAAGACTTGTCTATTTATTATTTATTTTACCCTACTTGGGCCCAAAATCAATTTTTCTCCAAATTTAAACCCAATTCCTTAATTTTCTTACATCAAAAGTCCAAAATAATATTGTCCGATTTCGGCGTCGGACTCCGGAAGGTCCTAGAAAACTTTCGGCGATTATTTTTATGGGGTATTACATCCTCTCCCCTTAGGACATTTCGTCCTTGAAATCGATCTGCACGTTCGGAGCTACCTCTAACAACTCCGGATACTTTTCTCGCATTTCTTGCTCGGTTTCCCATGTCTCTTCTTCAATCCCATGCCACGACCACACTACCTTCACCATCCTTATCTCACGGTTCTGCGTCAATCTAACTTTGAAGGGCACAATCTGAATAGGTTGCTCCAAGTACACCAAATCCTCCTGAAGATCCAAGACTTCCGGCTGAAGTATATGAGATGGATCAGTTATGTATCTTCTCAATTGAGAGACATGAAAAACATCGTGAACCTTTTTCAATGTCTCTGGAAAAGCCAACCTGTAGGCCACTTCTCCAATTTTTTCGATGATCTCGTACGGCCCTACATACCTTGGGCTCAACTTTCCCTTAATACCAAATCTCCTCACAGCCTTCGTCGGTGAGACCTTAAGTAATACCAAACCTTCTGGCGATCTTGGGCGGCTTTCATCTTAGCCTTGATATTACAAATCTGATTCATCATCTCTTCAATCATTTCGGGCCCCAATACAACCCTTTTGCTTAGGTCACTCCAACACAATGGCGTTCTACACTTCCTCCCATACAAGGCCTTAAAGGGTGCCATCTCAATGGTCGTTTGATGGCTATTATTGTAGGAGAGCTCCACCAGAGCCAACCGATCCTCCCATCGAGCTTAAGAATCCAATGCAAAAGCTCGCAACATATCTTCCAAAATCTAAATAGTGCGCTTAATCTGCCCATCGGTCATCAGATGAAAGGCCGTACTCATCCTTAACCAAGTACCGAACTCTTTATGAAGCTTTTGCCAAAAATGTGACTCAAAATGGGGGTTGCGGTCCGAGACAATCACCTCCGGAACTCCATACCTCTTTACCACGTACTGGATATACAACCTTGCCAACTTCTGCACGCTCCAAGTTATGCTTATCGGGATAAAAACTGTTGCTTTAGTCAATCGGTCAACAACTACCCAAATGGCATCGGCGCCTGATCTCGACTTTGGTAATCCGGTCCCAAAATCCATAGCAATCAAGTCCCACTTCCATTCTGGAACTTCCAAAGGTCTCAACAAACTCATAGGTGTCTTATGCTCTGCCTTGACCTGTTGGCAATTCAAACACTTGGCGACATACTCCACAATGTGTCTTTTCATACCGCGCCACCAAAAATACCCTTACAAATCTTCATACATCTTATCGCAACCGGGATGCACTGAATATGGAGAACTATTAGCTTCTTTAAGTATCTTTTCCTTAATATTCAACTGATCCTTTTGTACACACCATTTGTCTCGAAATCTTAGACTTACATCCCAACTAATATGGAATTCGCTTATTTCACCTTGTTGCACCCTTATCGCTAAGTTAAGTAAATCATCGTCATCAACCTAAGCTTCCCGAATCTCCCTCCGAATCTCGGGTTCAACTGACAAGGCACCCATATATCCTTCAATCACCATAGGACCCACTACCTCAATTTGTAGATTCTCGAACTCATGACACAACTCTACGGGTAATGTCACCGAACATACGTCATGACTTGACTTCCGACTCAAAGCATCAGCAACCATATTCGCCTTACCTTCCTGATATAAAATATCCAAGTCACAGTCCTTTACTAACTTCAACCACCTCCGTTGTCTCAGATTCAACTCTCTTTGAGTGCATGTATTTCAAACTCTTATGATCGGTGTAAATCTTGCAATAAACTCCATAAATGTAATGTCGCCATATTTTGTGAGCAAACACGACAGCCGCCATTTCTAAGTCGTGAGTCGGATAGTTCTCTCCATGCGATTTGAGCTGCCTTGAAGCATATGCTATCACCCTTCCATCTTGCGTCAACACACACCCCAATCATCGTCTTGACACATCACAATACACATCGAACTCTTGTCCATCTATCGGCAATGCCAACACCGGTGCAACCATCAACCTCCGTTTCAACTCTTGAAAAGCTTGCTCACATAATTTGTTCCACACTACTTTGACATTTTTCTTCCACAACGATGTCAATGGTCTTGCCAATCGTGCAAAATCTTGCACAAACCTCCGATAATACCCGACCAACCCCAAAAAGCTCCTAATCTCTATCTGCGTCTTTGGTCGGGGCCAATTTTCAATAGCGCTCACTTTTGATAGGTCGACCGAAACACCATCCCTCGAAATACATGCCCCAAAAATGTTACTTCGCTCAACCAAAATTCACACTTCAACAGTTTAGCATACAAGTGGTGCTCCCTCAATACTTGTAGCACTAATCTGAGGTGATTCGTATGATCGTCCTGGCTTGAAGAATATACCAATATATCATCATTGAAGAGCACAACTTATCCAAATATGGTCTGAAGACTCTATTCATCAAGTCCATGGAGGTAGCCAGAGTGTTCATCAACCCAAATGACATCAACGTAAACTTATAGTGCCCATAACGAGTTCGAAATGTTGTATTCAAAATATCGCCTTCTGAAATCCAAAACTGACGATATCCCGACCTCAAATCTATCTTCAAAAATACGTTTGCTCCTTTCAGTTGATCAAAGAGGTCGTCAATCCTTGGGAGAGGATTCTTATTCTTAACGGTAACTTGATTCATTTCTCGATAATCAATGCACAACCGAAGACTACCATCCTTCTTCTTAACAAACAGAATTGGCGCTCCCCAAGGATAATTACTCGGCCGGATATACCCTTTATCCAGCTGCTCTCGAAGCTGCTCATTAAATTCGGCCAACTCCTTAGGTGCCATACGGTAGGGAGCCTTAGACACCGGTTCTGCTCCTGGAATAATATCAATCATGGAATCTATCTCACGGTGAGGCGGCATCCCTGGTATCTCATCAGGATATACATCCGCAAACTCCTTTACCACGGGGATGTTCAAAAGCTGACTCTCATCTCCCAAGAAATCATGCGCTTCACATAGGAACAACGGGTGACCTTTACGAGTTAACTAATGTAAAGAGACAACATACACTATCTTAATCGATGAGCGATAAGGAATCTCCTCATACACAACTTCTCCACCACAAGTGCTCCTCACAAATATCTTTCTCCCACCAAAATCTATTCGGGCCTGATAGGTAGCTAACCAATCCACACCCAACATGATATCGAACTCCGCCAATTAAAGCTTCAAAATATTAGTAGGGAAAATTCTATGCCTCCGATCATGACAGACACTCCTACAAAAAGACAACTACAAGGCACTAGCTCTCCTGAAGGTAGCCTAATCTCTACCGAAACCTCTACTCGAGAATCTAATTCTAACTTCTTAGAACATTTACTTGATATGAAAGAAAGGGATGCACCGGAATAAAAGAGAATAACCACAGATAATGAATTCACCAAGAACTTACCAGTCAGGACGTCTCCCTGGTTCTCCACAGCTTGCCTTCTCGTCATGACATTTATGTGACCTCTCTCGCCACTTCTTCCTCCTCCTTTCGCATGCAGAGGTGCCACTGGCGACGTACGACCTTGTTGCTGCAAAACCATTGTCCTCTCAATCGCATTCGGAGCTCCAACTAACTTGAGACAAAACCTCTTGACATGTCCCGGCTCATGGCAGTAATAGCAAGTGATGGGCTTGCCATCCCAAGAAAATCCTGGATGAGATTTCCACATCGGCTACAAACAGTCGGACCGCCATGACTATCACTCAAATTCCCAGGGATGAATTTAGGGTGAGATGCATAAGGCGTACCCAAGAACCTCCCTGAGTGATCCTTTCGCCTATAGTTCTTCAAACGCTCACTCACATTCCCTTTTCCTTTATCTTCCCTGCGGACTTCTTCCCTCCGCTCATCATACGATATTTGATTTGCCCGATAGATGTTAGCTGCTTTCTTGTATGCCTTCTTAAGGGTCGACACATTGAAGCCATCTAAGAACCACTGAAGATCTCGATTAAGCCCACCAACAAATCTCGTCAATTTGCACCGATCGTTCACTGTCAAATCTGGAGCGTAGGCAGCCAATTCATTAAAACGCATGAAGTATTCTTCCACCGTCATAGTACCTTGCACCAAGGCACTAAGCTCATCCTCCTTTGCTCTTTGAATGTGCGGACGATAAAAGTGCACTCTTATCATCGCCTTGAAGGCCTCGCACGGCAATCCAAACAAATTGCTCCCGGAAGCCTTTTCATTATTCCACCACTTCTTGACCAATCCTTCCAAATAATACGCAGCTATCATAGTGTTTTATCCTTCTGGACATCTCACCACTTCAAATATCATCTCCAAACGATCCAACCATTCTCCCAAAATAGCCGGGTCTGATTGACTAGTGAAAGTCCGAGGACTATGACGTAACACTGCATCCACAACACTCCGGGGCTGCTGAGCGAATTGCCCCATAAACTGCCGAAAGATCTCCAACAGTGGGTCTGAAGGTCGAACGGGACTCTGAACTGGAGGCTCGGGGTTTTGGGATTGCCTACTCTCAAGCTCTTCATCGGAATCAGGTGCCACAGGTGGTTGACGAGCATGCCTAGGGGGCATCTTCCTAATTGAGTCTAGACCTAATAAGCTCCAATTAATCAAATAGCATTACCAATACACATAAACACACGGAATAAACATAAAATACAATGCATGCCATGAATGCACCCAAACCCGACTAAGCCCATGATCTAATTGATTTTAAATATTTTGAAATCTTCAAGTTTTATTAATCAAGAGGCATGAACCTTTAACCTAGATTCTGATACAAACTGTAACACCCCGGCCGGCTCAAGCAGGAGCGCCAACGCCACCCCACATCGGAAGGCTTGTTCATCAACCAACGAGTCCTACGTTGTGGCGATAAGGCTAAAATAATAAATACAAACAAGTACATAGGGATTTAAAATTAAAGCACACCGGCTTATCTACTAAATAAATAAAGTTTGAGTCTAAAATATAAATTGGGAATAGTTCAAAAGGCATTAGTCTTTAAACATAATTAATGAATTTCAAAAGCATTTTATAAGATAAAGTAGGTATCGTTTCCCCCGATGATCGTATGACGTGGATGCATCATTTAGGTATAACAGAAGCATCATCACCTACAGAAAGGTTGTAAGAAGAGGGTCAACACAACGGTTGAGTAAGCGCGATTAATCGAAGATAAATTATTACGGTATAATGCCACAAAATCATTTGAAGAAGATAATTGAATAACATGACAGGTATCACATATGGGTAACTCACACACACGAGTCTTTTAGCGTCTCTGTTATATCTCTTTTTCATTCTGAAATAATAGGGATGAGCACATGCCGAAGAAAACTCCACTAGGCCTTAATTAGGGCCGGTTCAACCCGGTTTTCCAACCTTATTACTTCGTACGACACGTTACATAGTTACACATAACACGCATAGGGTCACAACCCTCAAGAAAACCTTCACAATGCGTATCTAAGGGTTTGAACCCCAAAGTACACGTAAGTCAATTTATTTATTAGTTTGCGAGGGGCGCCAAACGACCCACAACCCTATAGTCTCGAATATAATATACCAAGAAGGGATTGTACGCAATCAAACCCTCCACCACGGATGACGGTCAAAAGACCTTTTCATCGTGAATGACGGGCACCTCGGAATCACCCAAAAAGGGAACCTGCCATCTCGATCCCTCAACCTAGCCCATTCGGGATCTAATTCGAGGTTAGCTCGTTATCCTAAAATACCGGTATACTCTTGCGTGTTTGCAAGGCACAAAGGTGGAAGGCTATGCTTTATCACCCAAACAATCGACGAGTTGATCAGACTCGACGGGTAGTTTCAATTACCAATTTGAGCCAATACTCAATATGCTATTAGGAAAATTTCAAAAGAAGAGAGCTTTAAACACAAAACATTCCAATTGCCAAGGTTTAACCAACCAAAAAGTGGATTATTAAAACCCAACAAGTTCGTTATTATCTCACTTTATTTCGCCAAATAAACATTCAAAAAATATGTCCATCCCAATTGGCATAAATCTTTTTCCAAAATACCATACCTAGGTTAGGACAAAACTAGAGTTTCAAACTCATTCCACAAATTCTACGGTTTTCATTTTAAAATACTATAATAATTTCACATAAGCCCTATGAGACATTACAATCAACTTTCTAGAAGAAATTGGCAAAACCTAACACTTTTAGAGCAAATTCATTTGAAAATAATTTTAAAAATATCAATAGAAGGAGTATAGGGATTAGAACATATCACCTATCTAAGATTAATCTCACTTACCTTAAAAGAAGAGACTAAAAGGAAGAGTTTAGGAAAAAAATAACTCCAAGGAATAAGAGGGGGGGCCGGCGTCATGTCAGGCTGCTTCTGTTTTTTTTTTTTTTTTTTATACTTTATTAAGCATAAAAGACTTGAGTCTTTATTATTTATTTTACCCAACTTGGGCCCAAACTCAATTTTTACTCCTAATTTAAACCCAATTCCTTAATTTCTTACACCAAAAGTCCAAAATAATATTGTCCGACTCTGGTGTCGGACTCCGGCAGGTCCCGGAAAACTTCCGGCGATTATTTTTACGGGGGTATTACAAGATCAATTTGACTCAAAATAATAAAAGTTACATGTCTCATACCTATATTAAGTCAAGAATTTTAATAATAATTATTTAAAGGTAATTATGAATAAGCTACACCAAAATAATTTAGACCCATATCATTTATGCAAAAACAAATTGCAGTATACACAAGTTATTAGAGCTATATATAAGTTTTGCCAACAAAGGTCGATAAATTAACTTATTAAATCTCAAATAAGTCAATTGAAAATTAAAGGTATTTCACTAACTAATTACACATACGGTTGATAATGACGGAGAGATGAATAACCAAACTATTCCACAAGATATTAAAACAACTAATGATGCACTAATATATAACCAAACTAAACAACATGCCCTAATGCTTAAAGAGACTAACCTACAAGTTACAACAAGAATCATACATGATTAGGACAAAACTAAGCTTTAAGAAATGAAATTAAGTTGCAGGGGATTAAATAGTCTATATTACAATAGTGTTTGATACTACTACTAATCTAAAAGTTTATCCTAATGGAGTCAAATTATGACTAAGCTATATGTTTAAAGAATCAAGGCTAATTTAATTTAAGGGGCCATTTGCTAACTAAACTAACAAGACTAATTTAGACCACACCAATTATTAACCTAACAGATTAATGCAAACAAAATATCAGCACTAAGCTAAGTATCTACTTACTAAGTAAGGGTATGCCAATCTAGTCAACTAGCAGCGAAAGATAGCAATGATACTAAAACAATATATAAACTTGACCTGCATTGAACCAAGTATACAGGAAATCAAGCTCAAAACCAGGCCAATTTAATTGAACTACAAAACACCTTAATTTATCAATGATCTGCAGCACGTAATCTAGTTCTAAAATACCGATTATGGCTAAAGGACTAATCGGGACTTCAGTACAAATACAAACAACTAACTAGACTAACTTAAGGAGGAGGCGAGTTATTCCAAACTAACTAATTAAATAACAATTATATTAGACATCGACTAAATTTGAATCCAAGCTTAATTAACAAGTTCTACACCTAAACAACTAAATAAACACAAAATTAACTTAGATTAATTAACTATAAATTTACAACAATACCAATCTAAGTTAATTAACGGTGCAGTCCATCTTAGCCAAGGAAATCCAAGAAACAGAACAACACAAACTATCCTACTGCAACAACCAAGGTTAAGGAACTAGGCAGAAATTAAACAATCTAAACCAATATAATTTAACCTACAACAATCAAGACATATACAAACAAACAATCAGCAAACAAGCTACATATATATATTATCAACATTCAAAGGCAAAAAAAACTTCCCATATTGCAGAATTTTTGGTGGTGCAGAATTTTGGAGGGGGGCTGAGGGAGGGGCTGATCTACTAAATCCTCACACTTGAACATTTTTTTGCCCTCGAACAATTGCGGTTGACATGAGGAGGAGCTACAGTTATACCAAATAATGATTCATGAGTAGCTTTTAATTTTTTCCTAAGCGTAATGCAACAAACAATAGCCACAAGGCTATTTAACCGAGAGAAAAGAAAAATCAGCACAGGGGTAGCGATAAAGCTAATTCTAACATCAACCGAAGTAAGACATGTTCAATCGTTAGGCCTAGTACACTCTACTCTTAATCGCCAAAATATAGTTCAAGGAATATCACAAAAATGAATTTATCAAGCATTGCAAATTGTCAGCAGCTTTAACTCAGATGCAGCTCCTATCACATTAATGTCATCTAAGCCAAAATTTAGACAAGAGGATGATCATGTCAAGCATGACAAAAAGTAGTCATATCAATCAAATTTGATGTAATGAACCGAATTAGTCATAAAATAGTTACAATCAGAATCCAACTACGAGCATCAGGCTAAATATATAAATATACATATATAACTAGAGATCAATCAAGCATATAAAAAAATTGAAGAATAGAAAGAAGACATGCAACACAGACACAAAAATATTACATTGATGTACCTTTGGAAATAATGGTAAGGTATCTAGGGCAGTTTTATCAAGATTCGTCTCTTTTTGTATTATCAAGGGCCAAGACTCTCTGGCATTTATAGTTTTAATGTCTTCAAGTGGCTATAAAAGATTTGTATGCAATAATCTAATCCTCTAGAGATTTATTAATATAAGATACATTATTTGAAAAAACATGGTATCATATTATAATATTAGCTAGGATAAATACTTCCATCTAGAGGTAGTGAAGGCTTCGAGGTGAAGCAGGGTGAGATCAACACAACTCCAACAACTCTTTTATTCCATACATTTACATACACCAATTAATTGCAAGAAATCATAATGCCAATATATGTTAGTTACAGGACCAATACATTTCTTCAGTGTTTAATATTATTCTCCTATAAGTTACTCAAATGTTAATGCTTAGATTTTCATACACAATCCTCATCTCTAAGTTTTCTCCACAAATATCCCACATCACAAAACCATATAAGTGTGATTGGATCTTGGAATTCAGCTCAACTAACAAAATTTTTTCATATTTCCAATTCTAACCTATAACATATTTTTTGCACAAAATCAGAACGACCCAAAGTAGCAACACAACATATAATTAAATGATTTTCAAAACAAGAGATTTGTAACTAGATATCAAACAAGCATTTTTTGCTGCTCTAAGGAAGTAGAACACCAAAGAAAACAACAATCAAAGAAATGGTAAGAACAACTTATCC